GACGGGGGTGGCCCGCGCCTGCTGGGGTTGCAGGGTGCAGCGGTCGGTGGGCCCCGGGTCTAGCCTCCCACTGCCCCCCGCAGGGAGCCGAGCGCCCTCCATCGAGAACGTGCTGCAGGACGGCAGCCCCGAGCACCGTGACCACGGCCAGCCGGGGCCCCCCGCCGACATCTACCTGCCAGGTGACGCCTGCCCGCCTGGCCGAGGGGGTGGTGCGGGCGGGAGCGGCGGCCTGGGGGCGGCCCGCTCCCCTTCCATGCCCCTCCTGCTGCCGGCTCTGAGGCCCTTGCCCAGGCCCGTGCCCCCAGCCGCTCCCCGCACCGTGCAGGGCCGGCCACGGCGTCTCCGCCCTTGCCCATCACCTCCGTGGGCCTGCAGCCCCCGCGGGCGTCCGGTAGGAGGGCTCGCCCCAGGGAGCCGCCACACAAGGCCGCCTGACACGGCCACCGGCTCGGCCTCGCAGGGTGGACCGGACAGGGCACAGGAAGTCACACTGGGGGTTGAGGTGCTGCTGAGGGCACGGGGGGAGGGAGGGATCCTGGCATCTCCCCATGCCCCCTTTCCCGTGCAGCTCGGGGCTGCCACCTCTCTGTGCCCTGAGCCCCAGAGACGAGACAGGAGGGGGCTCTGGCGCCGTGCTGGCCGGAGCCCCCGGGCCTGGGAGGCAGGCGGCAGCCAGGGCACCCTCGGGCCCGGCCTCCCCTGGCAGCAGTGCTCGGGCCTGTCCTGCCACACGCAGGGGCCCCCGCCTGCTCTGGTGCCCCGCTCTGCCCGTGGCCGGCCTTAGCAGCGGGCAGCTGCGGCGGCTACGACTTGGTCGGGCCTTCCGGCCCTCGGTGGCTCCTGCCTGGCACTGTCCGAGCAGATGGGGGAGCAGTGGGACCCACACAGCAAAACCTGTGGGTGAGAGCAGAGTGCCTGCGCCCCTCAGTACACATGGGGTTCCAGAAAGTTCTTTCAGAGGACTTTGGGTATTGCGTGATGGCTCAGAACTTGGAGTGGGGTACCAGGAGAGGTGCTCGGCTCCTGGGTGTGGTCCCCATCCCGCACCCCGGCCCCCAGGTAGGGTCCGGGGCCTTTGCCACACGGCCTCAGCAGTGCTGCCACCCTCCGGGACCCACGACTGTCCGGGCGTCCGGAAGGTCAGAACAGGCCGCCGACGCGGCCCCCGAGAGCCGGGACCCTGAGCTGTCGCTCCCAGCCCCTGGCGGCCTCTCAGGCCACGCCCGCCGCAGGCCTCCAAGCTGGGGCTTCCCACGGTGGCGGTGGGCGGGGAGAGCGTGGGCCTGCTGGACAGCAGCGGGCCGGGGCGCCACTCCGGGGGCTCCCTATGGGCACCAGCAGGCCGAGTCGTCAGGATGTGCCGCGTCTCGGTCACCTGTCCCCACCCCCGCTGACCTTGTCCCCAGCGGGGACTCCACCTCTGTCACTGTTGGACGTGACGTGCGTGTCACACGGCGTCTGGGCGGCATGGCCACCCCGGCTGATGGACTCGCGCACGGTCTCCGGACAGCCACAGGCCGTCCGGGCACCATGTCCCTGGGGCGGCCATGTGCCCTGACCCTGCGTTTCCCGGGTGACTGGGAGAGTCACAGTGGGGCGACCAGCTGCCCCGAGTGGCCAGTGGCCGGCGTCCTGCCTGGTGCATCCTGTGCCAGAGCCTGGTTCTCGGCACACCAGGGTCAGCTTCTTTCTCCTTGGAGCAGTGGATCTCTACTTCTGAAGATTTATTTTTGCATAGAACTGGGGTGCTGGCCAGAGGTGCGGGGGTGAGAGGGCTCCCCAGAGACAGTGGGGACCAGAACAGGCAGGACCATTGAACTCCACTGCTGGGGGGACAGGAGGGGTCGGCTGGGGTCACTCCCTGGCCGGGGATCGTACTCGGCCGTCCCGGTGACAGCCTGAGACTGGATGCCCGGGGGGTGGGGCCTCTGGGGGTCTCTGGCCGCTGCCTCCGCACAGCCCTCGGGGCTCCTGCTCTTGGCAGAGGAGTGAGCTGGTCCCTGGCCGCTGCACTGCGGGGCGGCCTCGCCCGCCCTCCACGGTTCCCTCCCGTCCCAGGCCTCTCCCGGCCACGTCCCCCCAGGGCCCCGGGTCCTGAGTCCACGGCCCCTCGGCCGCGCCTCTGCCCCGCGGTGGCCCCGGGCTGGCCCGGAGCCAGAGGCTCGGCCCTCGGACTCAGTGGCCTCGTCCGCTTCAGCCTTTTGGGCCCCTGGAACAGTGACTGAGTCCTGCTGCGAGCCCCCTCCCCCCCCGTTGATGCTACCAGCTTGTGCCCTACCCACCTGGACTCCCCCAAACACATAGATCAGTTTGCTGGGATTCCCTGAGAGGGCGACTCCCCACTTCACGCCTGGGTGCCCCAAACATGCTCCACGAGGTCTGCTCCCCAACAGGCAGCCTTATGGGAGTCTGGGGGAGGCGAGCCTGGCACCATCGGTGGCCTAGGCACGGGCAGGGTGTGCGTGGTGCCCTTCAGCCCCACCCTTGCCGGGGCCGGGGGCCCGGCCCACCAGAGCGCTCAGGCGTCGTCTGGGGTGCACGCGCTTCCGAACCCCTGGAGCCCCGTCCTCCGACATCCTTCCGGCCTCCTCCCCAGCGTAGCCCCGACGCCCACGGCAGCGGGCGGCCCGGCAGCGGGAGCAGGCAGGCCCGCGCTGGGCCCCAGCCGCTGCAGACCCACATGCGCCCCGAGGGGCCACGAGCGCCCTCACCACGTGCCCCTGCGGAGGACAGCGCAGCTCAGGCCGGGGGAGGTGGGCTGGTGAGGGCAGGAGACCCAGGAGCGCCTCCTGGCCTGTGTGGCCTCCGCAGACGCAGGGCTGCTGGGCGCTGCCCCCGCGCCCTGGCGGGTGAGGGGCAGTGGGCACGGGCGCTGCCTGACCGTGCTCTGCCCCCGCAGGATGGTCCACCTCCATGGAGACGCCCCGCAGCCTCCGGCCGCCGCTTGCCAGTCCCAGCCCTGACCCCGGGAACACTGAGCTGACCCCACTCTGAGCGTGTGGCCAGGCCGGCAGCTGGAGCCCTCAGCGCCCAGGCTCCGCCCGCCAGCCTCCCGTCCGCACCCCCGCGACCCTGCCTGGGAGCGCATGGCCGGCCCCTCTGAGACCCCTCGATGTATGTGTCAGTGGTACAAGGTGAAGGACAGCGCTCAGTCCCAGGCGGGCTCAGGCTCTCCGCCCCTGCTGGCCACAGGGCGGGGCGCGCCAGGGGGCGACCCCTCCAGGAACTGGGCTCCCTGGCGGAGGAGCGGTCCCAGCCCAGCTGTGGGACCAGTTGCTGGGAGGACGCGGCAGAGTCGTACCAAGGGAGGACGGTGTCCGCCCCTCCCCGTGTCCCTGTGCTCCGCAGTGGCCACGCTGAGGCCTTTGCTCCACTGCTGCCCCGGAGGCCCCAGTCTGCACCCGAGGCGAAGGCAGAGGTGTGGACCCCGCCCGTGCAGCGCCAGGCGTCCTGGGGCCTGCTTGGGGGGTGCTGCTCTGGCCAGACGCCCGGGTGGAGGGCGCCCCTC